TTTTTGCCCGCCATGCCACAGCTTTAACTAATCTACAGTGTGTGAGCTATGAGACGGATCTGCATTTTTCAACTTTGGTTACATACAAGCTTGTGCCGTCTGAGCCTTTCTTTGTCCAGTAACAAGTCTGTGCACCTTAAACGAAACTTCATTTAGGACCTTCAATTAACCTCTTGAAATTAGAATTCATAATCCATTTATCATGCTTGTACGACCTTTGAGAATTCATAATCCATACATCACAGTTTTCAGAATGATGTATGGATTATATCCTTGCACGGCGTTCATAAGCTTCCAAGATATTTGCATACTGCAGCTGCTGCAGAACTTCATTACCTTCCGACAGTGCCTTCCCAGTCTTAATGTGTGGTTGCCCTGTTAGACTATGTTTAGACTAATATCAGCTTGGCCAGCAAACTGTTTGATGGAATATCTGGGCTATAAAGTCATTTAAATCCTAATTACTATGCAACATTTCAAGGTGATATTCTGGCTCTAACTCATATGTTCTCGCCCAAATTCTGCCCAAATCTCTATTGTGCTTGCTGACATTTGTCTGTTGTCTTGTTAACGGATTCAGTCCCTTTTCATATCAAGGTCATCACATAAAAAAAGACATACACTGTACTCCCAACAGTTTATATGTTGACTAATGACTACATCTGCCCACTCAGAAGTGTGACCTCCCTCTCATGTGCTCCCTGAACTCCAGCACAATGCCTGGTACTGACCTGACGATATCAAATCTTAATACTACTGAGTCAACTTACATATTCTGCAATCACTTTTTCCTTTGCAGGCTTCTATAGAGTTGTTGCATATACAGTGTTGTGAATAGATATTTGCCCTCTTCCCTATTTTTTAGTTTTTTGCAAATTTGTCACACTTGTATGTTTTAGATCATCAAACATAATGCTAACTTAATACTATACAAAGATAACCAACGTAATTAAAAAATGCAGTTTTAAATATTTTTTTATTAAGGAGGAAAATGCTATCAAAACCTGCCTGCTCCTCTGAGACAAAGTAATTGGCCCTTCTTGTTAAATCATGAATTAATTGTGATTAACCACTTTTTTTTTTTTGGAAAGCTGAAAAACATGTTGATGATTTTTTTCTGTTCTCAAATTGCTCTTCTCTTAGGAGCTCTGGGTGGAGTCTGGGTGGAGTTCTTCGCCCCCCCTCATTGTTTTTCTTACCATGCTACCTCTTCTAACCTGTCTTCCCAATGTGATATTTGTGCAATGTATGTATGGTTGAAAGGGGGCCAATTTCACTGCAGGTAACATGTACGTGTATCATTGCAGCGACAAAAGTGACATTGGAGGGTTTTTTTGATGATGATCAGGCTTGATCATCATCAAAAAAAGTCTGGACTAGAACCAGATTGAGATGCTTTAGTATGACCTTAAACATGCTTGAAAAAACCCTCCAATGTCACTGAGTTAAAACAAATCTGCAATGAATGTGAGGCAAAATTCCTCACAAGTGCACAGTGATACGAAAGACTCGCTGCCAGTGATCACAAATGCTTGATTGCAGTACTTTCTACCAAGGGTGGCACAAACACAGGTTTAGGGGAGAATTATCTTTTCACACAGGGCCAGGTAGGAAGGATTTCTGTTTGACTCTAGCAAATATATTAAATCATTTATCAATAGGCTACAACTTGTTCATGTGGAAAACATACATACTCACAGCAGACTCTGTAAAGGTCTTCTAATCCGGTGTGTAATACACTGCTCATGCCCTTAATAACACATTTATGAACAAGCTGTCTGACTGATACCAAAATCAAACGCGCACACTCTCTCCCAGCAGACAGATTACCGATTCGCCTGATATTGTTTCGGCTCTGTGAAATAGTGTCTGCTATCCTCAGGTCTCCCGGTACGGCAGCATCCCATTAGCCTATCAGCATTTATAACCTGGTTTCCAAGGTTACGGCCTTCTAAGTCACTTCCAGTAAAAAAATATTCAGGATGATGTTTGTTGGGAAACTCAGCCAGAGTCTGTATTAATTGTAACTTTATGAGGACAAATGTGTGTTAGACACA